TTTAAAAAGATTAAATATATTTAAACACTGTGATGTTAATTAAGATGTGAACATTTTTACAGACAGTGATTGCTCCCTTCTTCCAGATGATTTATTTCAAACTTTAAGTTCTGAATTAGGTATTCCTCTTCTCTTAGAGAATGAAATACCTTCAAAAACAGACGATGGTATTGATAACGAAACAATAAAAGATATATCTATAGGGGAACCTTCAAATAATTTCAAAGAATTAGATATAAATGTACAACAAAATTCAGGTATTTCACACTTTGTTCTTTGTTAATCTGTTGATACTTAAAACTGTAAAATTTTGAAAAATATTATATTAATTTTACTTATAGATTTGGATTTGGTTAATGATATAAAGATGGAAATTAAATTGGAACCTGTAAGTCCTTATATTCAATTGCCTCTGTCTCCAGCATCAAGTTATTCTGAATCTAATAGATTAGACCCACAAATTGAAACAAATTCTACTACTTCACTGTGCGAATTTAAGGTGTGGCTATGATGCTTTCAAAGTCAGTGGCAGTAAATTTTACATCTGTATACTTTGTATATTAAGGTATATTGATTTCTTATAGGCAACACTGGAAACACCACCTATTTCACCTCCACAAAATCTTTCTCCACCTATATCTCCAGAACCAATTTTAAATACAGCTATTGGAAAGCAAGTAAAACTTATGCCTCTTAAATCTCAAGATGCAAAGCAAACAAAATTTATTCTTTCTAAAGCAAATTCTGCTAAACGGGTTCGAGTTCAACCAAAAAATAATGTACACCTGGTCTCTGATGGTAAGGCAATATGTAATGCGTTTTAATTAATTTTATAATATTTACTTGTAAACTGCATACTATGTCTTTATATACATCATATTTCCCAGAACAGTCGCAGAATGCTATATTTTTGAACACTCAGAATTTTATTGCACTCACTCAAAAAGTTAAGCAAAATTATACATCGTATCCTTTGATGGCACATGTAGTGTCAACTAATGGGAATAATAAAGTTCAGTCGTCTGTACAGTTTCCATCAGTACAAATAAAAACAGAAACAAATACAATTCAAATACCACAAGAAAATCATGTAAAAATAATAAATAATATTCCTAACACATATACACCTGGAAAAGATCAAGCAGTAAACATGATTGATACCCCAGTAGTTCTTAACAATGAAACAGCTGGATGTACCTCCATAGTTGTCAAAAACAATTCACCTAGGTGTAGACCAATAGTGATTAAAACGGAGAATTCAAATTATTCTCCAATTGTTGTAAAAAATGAGGCCCAGGATGTTAATTTTGTGGGACGACAAGATTGCGAGATAAAAGCGTTAAAGAGGCAACAAAGAATGATAAAAAATAGAGAATCGGCTTGTCTGTCGCGAAAAAAGAAAAAAGAATATGTATCTTCGTTGGAAAAACAAATTTATGAGTTGCAGCAAGAAAATAAACAATTAAAAATGGTAAAAAACTGTAGAATAATTAAATATATATTGGTCTAATGTATTTCTTATTGATTCTGATTATGATAAAATTCTGTCTATATTAGGAAAATATAAACTTAAAACAGAGACTTTCAGCATTACCGGATACGAATGCTAGTACTAAATTTAGAAGTGTAAATCTTAATTTAAATAAAAAGAATGTTGCTATTCTTTTGGGAATGGTTTTTATGGTGTCTTTAAATGTCAATGGTTTTAAGTAAGTTTATAATAAACTGCTGTTTTATCACAGACAGACAAATCCAAAATTTAGTATAATAAAGATTACAATGAAAAATAACAAAGTGAAAATTCTTTCCTTGCAGGGATATGCTTTCGCAAGGTAATCGATTCGATAAGTTACCTACTGATATTCCTATTAATGCACAGTATACTAGACATGGAAGAACTCTACTCTGGACGCCTAAAGATCAAATTCAGGAGGAAGACGAAGATGGTTTCCGTAAAAATGTGTCAATACCTCAGCTGATGTGTCCAATGCACATCAATCAAAGTGAATCAATTCGTTTAGATTATGAATTGAGACGATGGATCGGTGGAAAATCCGACCAAGATGATTGGGCTACATTGAAGAAAGGAAAATTGGACGCGAAACTTATAGGAGAACTTTTATCATCGCCTCGAGCAATGCAAAAGAGACCTAAACATAAACGTAACCTATCAGAAAGAAACAAATCTGAAATACTTCGAAAAACAACGGGCCCACCGATATCAAACGCAGTGGAAGTTTTTTCTCCAATAGTAAAGGAACATGCTTCTTTGTTCGAAGCTCTAGGAAGAAGGGATGATACCTTCTATGTAGTTTGGTTCAGTGGAGAACATTTACTTTTGCCAGCTTCAAGTAAAAACAGTACAGGTAGACCAAGAATGTCATTGGTGCTTCCTGCTCTTCCTATGAATGGTAAGAATGTTATGTTTAATCCATTTTCGATATAAGAGAGGAAAAGATCGTACTACATAAAAGTATCTCTATTATTTTCATAGAAACATTTTCAACGCCCGCAAATCATATAACTATGATGCAAATTGATTGTGAAGTTACCAATACACAATTGTTGCACTTACAACAATCCGTTATACCTAATCATTTAAAAAGTAACAACGGATCTAAAAGTCATACGCATCAAACTCAAACGGCAAATGACGTGTCAGACGCAGTAGCAGCGGATATAACTAAGAATTATAAACCATACTTTATTAAAGAAACTAGTCATAAGATTTTCCAAAAAAAAAATTCAAAAGATACATATGCTGACAAAAATAGTAGAAATTATAATAAGACGACCGCTTATATACTGAAACAGAAATTTATTTCAGAATTTGACTTAGAAGAAGTAAAAACTGAAGTGTTAAAGGATTCGAGGAAATCAGAATCCCGAATAAAAAGTCCAACGTCACAAAAAAAACAAAAATAAAAAAATTGTAGCATTATTTAAGAAAAGTTTGTTTTCTCGTGACGTGCAACGGCACAATACTAGTAACGACGTGCACACATTGTTCACATATACATACGTGGTATCAATAGCATTTATATATATGTATTTACATATATATATATACATGTGCATTTTATACAATTTAATATAATTTCAAAGATTGATTTAACATACGATAATTTAACACTCTTAAAGTTGAATTATTCTCTGAAATTATAATTTATACAACCTTTGTACAAATAAATGAATAATATTGTCACATAAATAAATCATGGCGTATGACAAACTTAACCCTGAGTACGTCTTATATTCTAAGAAACTGACGATAATAAGTGGTGTATTGTATTGTTAAGGCCTATACAAACTGGGATACAATCGCTGGAAACACTGCATCCCAACAGTCGACAGACTATCGCCGATGTATAATTATAGTATAAATTCTCGAATTTTACATATATGTACGTACCGCCTAAACAAAACAATAGGGATTTAAAATAAAGATTAATTTTAAAGTGAATTTCGATACACTAAAAGCTAATACAATATAAACCTGTTAACAAATAAACTACCATATTTTTTTACGAGCAACCGCATCAAATTAATAACTACGTATAAATACGGTCATTTTAAGTTTGGCGTAGAACCGCCAAGATAAGATTTTAAATCCGTTATAGTAGATCGTACTAATTTGGCTTTGATAAATGGCTTTCCAATTCTCTGATGTGCTATGTATCGATGACATCCACCGAAAGAGTAATAATAATCGCCACCTTAAATGAAGAAATATACAATTATATTGTATAAAATTGGGGAAAACAATTTAAATATAATAGAAAAAACAGGAGAATAATAATTATTGTTATTACCTTCGTTTCCTTTAATCCACAAAACATCTATCGGTGGTACAGACGACTCTGTCTGAGGATTGCACAATGTATCTATTAAACTTTGAACCTTTTCTTCATCGACAATTGGAAGAATAGGCCGAATAAGTATGTTCATTGGAATATCATAAATCTCGGCGTTTGTGTCAGAATGAATGCTAGTGGGATTTTTATCATTCATTTCGGAAGCTAAATGTATAAAATAATACAAGTAAGAACACGATCAATCGCAAATAAATACGAAATATATGATATTAGAAACGTTTCTATTACGTGTTGCTTACATAAATACTTTCTCAATGATGCCGAAAACGTTGCAAATTGTCTAATTCCCAATATCATTGATAGAAATACCGTAATTCCTAGAACAGATATATCTGTCGTAAAAATAACACGTTAAATTATCAAGCAACACTTAAATACATGTATTTATGATGTAATTCAGAAGTCACAAATTCTGCTTAATATGTCTAAATTATATTCATGTTTTTCTTTTAACGGATATAAAACAATATTCTCAAAATGTTTAACATTAAAAATTAAAACTACGTACGATGTACAGTATCCGTAACGAGTCACCCATAAAGTAAGTTTCAGCCGTTTACCTTCAGAGTTTATGGAAGTATTAAAAGAGGGGATAAGATATGAAAATAGGCGAAGAGTTTAAAAATATTTTGTATGATTTTTTCAGCACTTTGTAAATCTTCATATGATTGGTTTAAATAATACAATATTTGAATAGGAGACGTTATTTTGAAATAAATGTTCAATAAACAAAAGATTGTAATTGAAAAAAATAGCTAAAGATATCATTCTTTGTTTAATGGTTGGTTAGCTAAAAACAAAATTACACGCTCTGCTAAATTTTTATATGCATCAGCATGAATGCTTTCTGGTGTAGATAGCACAATTGGTTTACCAGTATCACAACTTTCAACAATGTTTTCTGACAATGGAATAGTTTGTATAATTTGCACACCTAGAAGAAAACAAGTTGTACTAATTGTACTATGTTATTACTATGCTTTGCAATTGCACTAGTTGTACTATTCTCATAAATTGAATACCAAGTTCTTCAGCAATCATTTGTGTTCCACCATTGTAAAGAATTATTTTATTCTTACACTTTGGGCATACAACATTGCTCATATTTTCCACAATTCCAATAATTGGAATGTTTAAACGTTTAAACATATTAGCACCTCTTCTAGTTACTTCTAAAGCTGCTTTTTGAGGAGTAGTTACCAATAATGCACCAGTGACTGGAAGGTTTTGTATAATTGAAAGATGCGTGTCTCCTGTTCCAGGTGGAGTATCTACAACAAGATAATCCAACGGATCCCATGCTACTTGACGTAACAATTTATCAATTGCACTCATTACCATTAACCCTCTCCAAATTATAGGAGACTTGTCATCTGTTAAAAAGCCCATAGACATGCTGTATATGAAAAAAGAATTCTACGACTTAAGATAGGATGATGATAGAAGTATAAACAAAATGTGCGAAATTTGTGTTCTCACCACTTTACACCATAATTTATAAGAGGTTCTATGAGATTTGCATCATTAACTATGGGGGACTGTCGAATATTCATCATTAACGGTATAGATGGACCGAATACATCAGCATCGAGTAAACCAACGGACTTTTTTGGTTCAACAATTTTTAAAGCGGACGATAAATTTACAGCAGTCGTAGATTTACCTACTCCACCTTTCCCAGATGCCACAACAACAATTTGCTTAACACCTTTCAAAGGTTTCTGTTTCGGAAGACCGCGTGCCATTATTTCCTTTCGTTTCATTTCCATTTCTTTCTGTTGTCGTTCATCGAGAGAAATGGTACGACTCTATAATGAAATAATGAATAAGTATTTATCAGACATTGGGGAAAGGAATATTTAATAAATATTGTTTTGTAATTATTAATAAATGTGACATTTGCATATAGTTATATTATCGTTAGTATAGTACACATTAGTAATTTCTATATGCATTTAACAAAATCAAGCGATACCGACTTATCGAACATCGTGAAATATATTGTAGATAACGTAAAAGCTTTACATACTAATGAAAGCAATCGGTGCTTATTTGTTCCGTCATGATTTCGTTGAAGACGCATGAAAATTTTAATAGAGGTGAATGCCAACATTTTCAATAGTGATGTACGTAGATTTACTTCATACAACTGGCAATACCTTTCTAACCTGACATTTCGAATAGCATAACCGCGAAATCCTTTATTTCATAGCTCCGTAGAACATGGCATACCGATATTAAAAATTTTTCTGTAACGTTTAAGTTTCGTATTAACGGTCTGCTCGTACGTACATAGTTCAATAATACATTTTTACCGTTTTTGTGTGCATTTGCGAGAATTTTAATGCTTCTCATTTTAAGTAACAGAAATGTTTAACGCGAGGGCAGTGCAGTTTTTCATTAACGCGAAGCACATATCAGTAATGCGGTGCAATTTAGGTTTGACATAAATATGTGAAAGTAAGTCCTTTCTTTATTTTTAAAGCGTTTTATAATACATTTTAAATTTGTACAACTTTTAATTTCAAAATTGAAAATTAATACCATTGTTTATGACTTTTTTCGTTCTTTATGTATTGTCATAGTTAACCTAACTTTTCACTCGTAACATACATACATCGACTTTCGTGTATTAAATAAATGGTATTAATTTTTACGTTTCTTGATGCTTTATTTTGTCGAAACTTTAAGGTTTTATATGTTGCTTTCAATACATATGTACACGCACACAATCGTGCGCGCGCGTGTGTGTGCATATCTATATGTAATATGTGTATGCACATATGTGTATGTGTATATATATATGTATTCGGCAATTCCTCCCGTATAAGTCGAAACGAAAGTTATAATGTGAAAAATTATGTGTAACCGTCCGAATTCATTGACATGTTTATATATTTAATTGATATACAAGGTGTTGCTCAACATTTTTTCGTCCATCGTATTTCGCAATAAATAATAAAAGGTTAATATATTGCGAGAAAACTAACTAAACAGAGAAAATTATTGAACAAGATACAGTGTATTGTCAGTTATACATGTGCATTAGTAAGCTAAATATTGAGTCTGTAACATGTTCTTACAAATGAGTGTATGTGTATATAGAAATATATGTATGTTTTCTCATATGTTATTAAGTTTAATATTTTCCACATATTGAACAGGATAATGTATACATATGTACATGTATATTTAACTTTTTATTTACATAGGGAAAACATTTTGTGTCTGCGATTCAAGGTACACAGAATATGGGCCTAAACGCAGCTGTACAAGCTTTAAAGTAAGTTAGAAATAAAGAATATTATTTTTCCATATCTAAGTAAAATATTTATACAATGTTTGCTAATAATTCATTTGATTATTATTTTTATTAGGAAAGCAGAACCGTTAAAGGATAAAGTACAACGTTGCAGAGATCTTTTAAATGACAGTGACGCATGGGTTTGTCAGCAGCAGCTGCAGAAAATATACCAGCAAGTTCTCATATTGGACCTGGAATATGCTCTGGATAGGAAAGTTGAACAAGAACTTTGGAACCTTGGATTTAAAAACTATATAGCAACTCTGCAGTCTCAAGCAAAGGATAGGAAGAATCCTAAACGTGGAGAATCCCAGGCTTTACTTAGTTCATGTTTGGCGGCAGCGAGTGGTTTCTATTTGACATTATTACAGGAAATTTGTACCGCGTTTGACCTAGATTTACCATTCAGAAGGTAATTACATAGAATAGATCTGACCTTCTGCCAATTCTGTTCTAAGTACAATTTAGATAACAATAAATTTTATACAAGCTATATTTCTAGGAAGGGTTACATTTATGGATGTACATCGCCATGGAAGGCTATCGAAAAGTTATCAGTGCCTCACAAATCTTCGTGTTTTTACGCGTGCCAATATTGCCTTGTGCACTTAGGAGACATCGCTCGTTATAGAAATGAGAGTAAGCAAGCGGAATTGTTCTACAGGCATGCGGTATCGTTGTCACCATCCAGTGGACAACCGTATAATCAGTTAGCCCTTCTTGAAGCATCTCGTGGTAACAAATTGGCAACTGTATTTCACTATACACGGTCTGTTGCTGTAAAACATCCGTTTCCCGTTGCCACAACGAATTTGGCAAAAACGTTATCTTCTGCTTTAAATGATACATCGCTAAATATAGAGGGAAAAACAAAATTAACTTCTCAAGAATATATAGCAGTCTTCTTAAAGCTTCATGGCGTTATTCATAATGTTGGAGATTTAAAGATCGCTTCTACGTATGCGAAGTTACTAACTGAAACATTAACAGCTTTAGTTGCAACAGAAAGTTTTAGCTCTTGGATGCTTGTTCAAATGTTTGTAATTAATTTGTACGCGTTGGAACATACAACGAGTGTTGTTGTGGGTAGCACTGAAGCATTAAAGAATGAACAGTTAACGCCCGATGAGAAAATTGCTCGTGATTGCATTTTGGACCTTATAGCTGGAAGTCTGGCTGCTCTGTTATTACCTGTCTATACGATCAAAAATTCTATTATCGAATATTTCGCTTTGCCTTCTATAAAACTGTGCCTTGATTGGATTCATACGAAACCCACAGTTTTGGAGGAAATAGCCTTTACGTCGAGGCTTCAAATCTGGCCCAGCCTATGCGTATTGTTGAACGCTTTGCAGAATTGTGTGGCCGATTTCACATATGATCAATACGTTAAAGTACCACTGCCAGAGGATCGTGATCTACAAGGATTTTTACCTTTGGAAAAAAGTTTCGAGTGTTTAAAATTTACGAGTACCGATTTGGAAGATAACATCGAGGCTTCGAATAAGTTACGCGCCGTTCGTATACTTCGTTTAGGTCATTGTTTAGCACAATACAGGATCAACGGTGCAGCATTGATTGCTATTACATCAGGAGAGGAAAAGGGTGATAACAGATTCAGTTCTATAAGCGAAGGAAACGGACTGAGTAACGAATTGATGAAAGAGTTAGAGGAGCTCAGTTTAAATAGAGATAGACAATCTGCTGTATCGACTAGTCCAGTTCTTTCGGAGTCTGCCAGTAGTAAAGGTTCTACCGATGTCGATGTATTGGATCACGCTCTGGACAAAAGGATAGGCATTTTGAAACCTCAAGGTTCGTTAGAACGAAGTAAAGATGCAATAGTAGTTGCGGCTACTACTACCATGGTAGAATGCAACAGTTTCGAAAGTAACGCGTCGTTACCCACAACCAGAAAGCCAAGGCAAAACATAGCGATGCAAACGATAATGCGACGCGCCGAAACAGAACAAAAGCAAGTTACGTTTAAAAATCTGTCTCCGTTAAACGTAGAAGAAGAAAATGAGAAAAAGGGTAAAGTAAATTCATCGACGTCTCCGACGAAAAGTATACAACCGAACAGCGGGAACAAAAGTGTACCGATTGTTGGAGAAATATCGAAACTGAACAATGTTCCTAACGCGCCTACTAATACACCGATAACCGTTCAGAACCGATTACCGTTGATGCCTTTCGCTACGACTGCTGTACAAAGTCAAATCGTTTCTGTTCAAAACCAAATGAAAACCGCAAAATTACAACATCCTGTGTCACAGTCGCCTCAAATTAACCACCTTCCTACGAAAGAGCAACAAACTTCTGGAATTCTAACGCCAATATCTGGAATATCTCAATGCGTAGGAACTATCTGTTATCAAAATCCAACGTTTAACGTACAAAACCCGCAATTTACGAAAAATTATATGACGAATCATGTTGGAAATATATCGAATTATCCGATTCAAGGACACTTTACTAGTTCCACGCAACAATCGATGCAACCGCAGAATATAAATTTGCAACACGCACCCAGTCAAAATAGGTCTATACATCAGAGAACACCAACTCATAATTTACCCCCAAATTCATTGTTACATCAAAACCTTGGGATTTCACCGTCAACTCAACAGAACGTTGTACCAAATACTTCGCAAAATATTGGCGGTACTCAACAGGCTGGGAATATTGCTTTGCAACAAAGTCATAGTTTGAACATTCAACAGAGCCATAGCTTGGTTGGTGTGCAACAACAAAATCTTGCAAAAACTGGCCTTAGACCAAGCGCGATATCATTACAGAATCAGGTTACCTTAACTAGTTCAACCATGGCGAATGTTTCTACTTTGTCAACGTTGAATACATATCAGAAGAAACTTCACCAAGCTGCGTCCATGATGCCAAATGTGTCCAATGTGCCGGGTAATTCGTTGAACCCGACAACTACGTCGAATTTTCAGTTCAATTTCAACCAAAGTGACTTTAATCAAAATGCCTTTGGTCAAATACCACAGAAACAACTGTCATCGTCAGTGTATAATAAAAGTTCGGACGTTTTAGAATTTTCGTTACCCAATCACGTGGGCATGCCGAAAAATCAAACACAGCCAACAAACAATTATCCGCTTTTCCAAAATTACGAAACCACGAATTTCAATTTGTGGAAAGATAGTCAGCATTCGCAGCTTTCCATACCTTGCTGGGGTTCAACCAGCGGAGGTATGCAATTGCATGGAGAAGATGCATCTGTCATGGAAAACTATCATAATTGGGAGGATTCTTCGAATCCTGGAAGTATGATCCCACAAGTTCCATTGAGAACTTCTAACAACTATCCATCAGATTCTCAACATATTAAACATTTTGGCAGTGGAAGTAATTTCGAAAATTCTCGATCATTAGACGTACGTATTGCTCCGATTCCCCTATAAAATAAAAATTAATCTTATGTACGCATTATATATTATAGTATAGGCATACATATATGTATATTATTATAAATATTTGATTGATTGCAGGTAGACGTAAAATCGAATCAATCGATCAACACAGGAAACACTTATTCCCTATTTAGCAGTAACAATACATGGGGATCAAGTTCACAAAGTAGTAATGTGTCAAATCAGGATCAAACAAAGACTCAGCTTAGTCAACAATCTTTATGGTTTGGACCTGGACCATCTCCCTTGGAACGGCTTTTGGAACAGCAAAAATCATTACGCGAAGGAGGTACCTGAAGGAAAGCAATATAGATTATGTCGAAATATATTGAAAACAGATGTATCCAATTTGTGGATTCAACACTAACTAACGGGATCTAGTGAAACGTACTACAATAAATTCCACCGATCGTTCGACGAAAACGTTAAATTTGTTATAAAGCAACAGTTAGTGAGAGATTTCGTAGACGTTTAGATGTTCGTTATGTAAAACGAACAATACATACGTCCAAGGCGTTATGAAATACGCTATATAAAAACACATAGCTGTTAATTACTTACATTAATTGTTACGCGCATGATAGAAAACAAAGTTATTCTGATAGAAAATATTGCGCAACGGAGTTTTTCAAAAATGATTCTCTTAAATCTATCCTAGCGTTCACAATTGTGATCGCTTGAAAAGAATGATATTCAATGGCAGAAAGATTCGTCATCGGTAAATAAGTAGTATAAAAATAACGTACATGAATTATGCCATTAACGTCAGCAATGTGTAATCTGTATGAATTTAACGATACACATTTTACAAGAATGATATAAAGTCTCAGTTTATTTTCTAACAATTATGTACATTTTTTTCTTTGTAAGTAACGCTTTCACCAAACAAGAAAAAGAAGAGGGAAAAAAAGAAAGACACGAATATATAATGTACGAACGATATATATTTACGTTTTCTAATAGTTAAACAGATACATAAAATACTTTTGAAAATTGTCGCATTGGTAAATCTCTAAGTTGAATTTAAATAAAACGAATGGTATAGATCAGCATTTATAACATTGTAAAGATAAGAAGAACTCGATGTAACAAACATAAAGAATAATTTTGTTCGATTTATGACTGAAATTAAAAGTTACGTTTAATTATTTTCAAATATACGAATTAAAATTCAATGGAAATTGTACAATAGTTTCTTAAATTCTAGTACGACGATAAAATTTACGCGGTTTTATGGTTAATATGCATTCAAATGAGTTGTCCCTTATCATTTCAGACATTTCTGTTTCATGCATGTGAAGACTGTATAGAGAAAGCATTTCTTTGCTTTGTTTATATGATGTTACCTATTCCAGGGGCAAAATGATCATTAAATATTAGCCAATTTTAATAAATCCATTCTAATTTAATACTTATGTCAGGTTTAACGTTAATAATACTACCATTGCAAACCGTCGTAAGTAGTAATTTCCATTTTTAAGTGCGAGCTCATATTCGAACAACTTTTTTAAGGGATCCTTATCTACATATTGTATATTTACTACCAGTCTTCCATTATCATGAATCATAGCATTAAAGAAAAACAAGCCCATGTTACATATAAAAAATGCAAACTCATAAGTTCTTGGCAATGTTGTGGTATCTACAATCCATTTCTCAGAAAATATTACACTCCATTTATCAACCTAAAATCGATCAGTTTACAACTAAATGCTAAATCAAATAACTACAATATAAACAAGACATATGATGATTTTAATACCTCATAAAAGATATCTTTGTGACATTCCCTTAGATGCCTTATCAATAGTTCATATGGCAGTTGAAGTATGCATGAACCAATTAGGCATGGATATGAAATAGCAGAATTTACAGTTTGTATACTTTCATGCAGCTGTACCAAGCTTGTACATGAGTTTTCATCTGTTTGTGTACAGGAACTAGATACTACAAAATCCGTTTGAGTAGAAACATCTTCATACTCTTTCTCAATTATTTTTCTATACTTACAAATATCTACTTCCATCTCTACTACTTTACTTACTAGAAATACCTATTGAACATAAAAAGCAGAGCTGAGAGTAATTATTAAATAGACAATTATATTAATTTTATTTTGAGGCAGAAATTCAGAAACATGTAGGTACGTTTAAGTAAAGCATTGCACACATGTTTCATGTAGCACTACCCTCAAATTTGTAAACAATATTAAGTTGTGATAAGCTTTAGAAACATCTGCATATTCTGATAATAGTAAATCGAAATTCGTTTTATTTCGAACGACGAGTCGTCGATTATTTGAAATGTAGTTATCCAATGTGAATTTGACAGGTAACAACAACAACCGTGATAAAATCTAATCATTCAAATTCGCGATATATATAAAACATCATTTAAAAAAACAAAGTGCTTGTATCATTAAACCTTCATATCGTTGAGATGCTGAATTACATTCTCTAAAGTTAAAGGTCGGAGTTCAGTAAAATTTGCCTTGCATAATGGACACAATGACAGCTTTGTGCAGCAAAAGTAACATATATGATGCCCACGTTGACATTGTAAAATGTGTGACGTAGGAATTTCCAAACATACAGGACACGCAAGTATATCATCCAACTTTTCGAACCAGTTCTGGAAACAGGCAATATAAGTAAATTTGCATTGTAGTATCACAGAAAAGGTATAAGTATACCCCGTTGGCACCTATGCATACACATATATATCATAATTTATGCATGTAGGAAGTAAACTTCTAATATTTCATAACATGTAGAATGCATTACCAAGGTTTTATCCATTATTTTAAATTACAAATAACTGCAAAATGATTTTTTATATTGGAACAGAAATTTTACTACACATTTACGTCGTCACTTATTCACCTCGCTTTTCATCTTTTATTCAGCGGGTATTCCCAGCATATCGACCATGCGGAACTTTATAAAGCATTTTTAAAACCCTAGGTTTCAATCAAGTTTTAATTGTATTTGTACACATTCTGTGTTTAACGCAGATTGTAACTACTAAGTAATATAAGCTAATGAATACAAAAAGATTGCAAGAAATAATTATTGAAAGGAATTACAATGAAATGTCAAATTTAACCAGAATATGTTGCAATCTTATGTTGCAATACATTTACACTGAGTCTCGTCGATTCTTGCCGGAACCCTAGAATTAATCCAAAAACAGAGTTTGCAGTCTGTACACCTTGTAAACTTTCATCGTAAACAGAAAATCGAAGCTAAACAAGCTCTTTTTTATCACAGAATGATAAAATTTTATCGTTTAATTATTAAAATTAATAAAACGATCTGTGTACAAATAAAAGTACAAATATTTAATTCCTTTAACACGAATAAAAATGTATTGTCACGTCCCGTGGTCATTTAGCGAAGAAAATAAAATGTAATTAGGCGAGGACCAATCGGCCTGTTACAAGGGCACTGTGACGAACCAATGAAAATCGTTTGATGCGTACTACGTTTATTAGTTTTGTTTCGTCAACTCTCTTGACGTGAAAGTTTAGTTGTATACTTAGATCACTTTACACATAAGTACTTTGATATTAGAATGGTGTAAATAATAATACTAAGAGAGAAGGATTATTATATGTAAAATGGCGGGTTTTGGACGATTTATATTTTTTCTGTATTCGGAAAATTTGTTGTACGCAAGGTAAAGTGTTCAATCTTCAGTCAAGTATTATAGAGAATTTTGATATAAAGTAGGAATGAAACTTTAGCGATCGTACCACGTGTACATAAACTTTTTCTTCGATGATTATTTTGTGTTAACTTCACACTAATTTGGTATAATGCTATGTACATATAAAGACAATTTATTCTATAATTTTAATGAATTAACAATTTTTGTTTTTATTGCTTCTTATTAATACAAATAAATTCGTCATTGTTTTAGAAATTACTCATTAAACTTTCATCACAACATCTCAAAGAATGCATTAAAATCTATAAAAGAAACTATTTTTCCACCAAAACCAAAAAGACCAGAAGCTTCTTTCTTTTTATACATAAAATATGTTAAACCTAAGCTTACTGTGGAAAATCCACATATAAAATATTCTGATGTAATAAAGAGAGCATCTAAGGAATGGGCAGAATTAGATCCCGTTGAGAAGCAAAGATATCAAATGCAGTATTCTAAAAATTATGAGATATATATCCAACAATTGAAAGAATATAATAAGTCTATAACTGATGAGCAAAAACACTTGTGGGAAGAAAAAGTGAATGAATATAAGCAGATTAATAAACAAGTTGATAATAAACGGGTAATTGTACCAATATACGAAACTATGAGTTGATACTTTTATTTTCTGTTGATATACCTAATATAAGATTGGTTACAGAAATGTAAGACGTTTGGTAAACCGAAAAAACCATCAAGTGCATTTTTGTTATATTTATCATCGATGAAAAATGAAAGAGATCCAAGTGTACCTTTTAAGGTATTGCAAATTGATTTGCAATCAACATTGGATTGATGAATAATCAAAAAACAAAAGAAGTTAATATATCTTTTCTTTACTTTAGACTTGGGTGGAATCAATGACTAGAATATGGAATGGACTACCAGATACAGAAAAGGAAGTATACCGTAAGCAGGTTGCACGACTAATGGAACAATACCGTAAAGATTTGGACGAGTGGGAGACAAAAATGATCCACTTGGGTCATCCTGACATTGTAAGACTTAAAACTGTAAAGAAATATGAACACAGCAAAAGTGAAGAACAAGAATAAAAATTGAAGTGTTTTATTATTTTAGTCCTTTAATAAATTAGTAATAACCTTAAACAGTTCTCAATAATTTTAAACATTTTACAAGCTAATGTTAAAAGCACTTAGTCTTCATGAAAATATATTAGACCAATTAGAAATCTAATTTTGAGTATATTTGACAGCATTACATGGACTACAGTGATGTTTACATGTAGTAAGTAATTTATTTGAAACGATCAAATTATATATTAAGAGGATCAGTAGCAATATTAAAAAACCTAAATATAAAATAGAACTCACTATATTCGATTGAATGTGTTAAATCATGGAAAAATAACGTGTATTCTACTGTTTTAGTACAGTTATAATTATCCATTAAGAACGTTTATTTGAATATATGACATATGTTTGTATTCTTTATAAAAATTTAAGTGGAGCACTTTGGATGAATGACTTGTCAAATTGTACTTCATACATAATTTATATGTTTAAAGTTTTCCGAATGTCCGTATTGTGCAGACAATAGAAAAGCCCATAATGTATTAGCGTAAAACTGAAAATGTACAAAGCTAAATCTCCAAGTATCATATGAATTACTGTTACTAATTTTCTGAATTGATAAATTAATTGGGGTTTAATATTGCATAAGATCAAAACAGCATACAGAAAATTATTCTCGTGCATTTCTCGTGTATTTATACAATTATATAGGCGTCCCAACATTATTGGAAAGTATGGTATTGTGATTGTCTGTAATATTTAATTAGGTGTTACACATAAACAATAAAATGTGTCATAGTATTATTGATTGAGAAGATAAAATATTTTCCGAAATTGCGATAACTTTATTTTTTGTACAAATATCTGCAATTACCTTTCCAAATAAATGATCCAATTGTAACATGAATAGTATATTGACGATAATAGCCAATATTATGTAATTTACACGATTTGTTAGTGATATCGGTGGTGAATGTTTTGCCTGACTAGAAATGGCATTGATACCTTCAAATTTAACGTTTACATTACTAAGTTTATTTGTATTATATAAAAAAAAGTATTTGTGTAAAATATATTTTTAACACTGTATGGTGCATTACCTGATATTTTACCATTTACATTCTGATTTAAAGTTTCTCTTTGTACATCAGTAGCAACGAATAGTTGACTAGACAAACCTAAATGTGTAGTATGAGCTGAAAGAAAATAACAATGTTTCAGTGGTGTTACAAAACAAACAGTATTAATTAGATAAACATGAAGTAAACGTTTACTAATTCCTTTTGAAGAAGATAACTGAAATAGATAAATCACGTTTACCTTCTAATTCATTACTGCCATTTTTACCAGTGATTTTTAATAAACGTTTCTCCGAGTTTTCCAAAATTCGTCTTTTCCTGGCGTCTCTTTTAGCATTGATATCTTCCATGCTTTTCGTTGTGCTTCGATTATTTAGATGTTAAAAGGCAAAGTTTATGCTTCTTCTTAATCCATTAGAAGTAGCTTATCTCGTAAATATACACGATATGTAAGTTGAAGAAAAATTTAAAAATAAACTGAAATCTACAAATTTGTTACAATATATTTGTTAAATTCATTTTCATATCACTAATTATACACGAATGTAGCGATGAACGGCAAATATTAAACAAACGCTATTAAATCGTTAAACACTTTTAATAAACAAAATGTCGAAATATACGGCTTTTATGTATAGTAATTGTACAAACTGAGAGTCATTGTAATTCTACCTATATAGTGTAACAATTAACTTCTAAAATTGCACATGTTAAGCTTGTCGAATTGACAATCAGTGGTAAACTGTGATGGACAGACATACATTTATAATTGAATTGTTTAATTCGATTTCATCTGTTCAATATATATATTGTATATTGTTAAACGTAAAAAAAGGTTTGTTAGACGACTAAAATTTTTCATACAATTTTGGTTGTTATACAAGTTTATAGAATAAAATGTGTATATACTTCAAATATAAATAAGCTACGTATCGTATAAGATTCATGATTGGTAGTCGCTCAATGGAAACGCGGTATAGATTTAAGGCATTCTACAAGTACGGTTGCATTTTTAATGAAATCCGGCTGGGCTTCGCGGCTTTTGGCGGGTGAAACTTTCTTATTAGTGTTTTACGTATTATATTGTAGATTTTACGAAATTTAACAATGGGAGATAAAGATGGTGGTAAGAATAACGTAATTGCTTTGTAAATCTGTTTATTTTTGTAATTATTCATACAATTAAGATGATCGGTCGTTTGTTCAAAGGACGCTTTCTGTATTATAATAAACAACTTTGTCTTTTACCAGATATTTTTATAAAATAATTTTTCTTTCGGCAGCAAAATTCATCTTTCAAAGTCGCTTAATTTATTGTTAATGCCTAGTTGTTGTTGTTCTAAAAACGAAAAATATTTCTGTATCGTAAACAAAAAGAGTATATAATACTGTTGTACTTTGGTATTAGGTTATATATTATCCCGAAGGGGATAAGGTTTTCAATACTTAAAATGTTAAATTATTGAGTTTTTACATCGTGAAATGCACATTCCGTCTAAAATACATATATCGATCAATCGATTTATAATATTTATAATATTTGAATGTTAGTGTGCTATTATCAGAGGTGTTTGAACTTGACATCTTTTGTATCTTAAGTGTGTTTTTCCTCTTGTTTCTTCATTCCTTTTGTAATTGCATGGTATTATGATCATGTAATTGTTTTTGTGTATCTTGATGTCCTTTAGCTATTTTGCTTAGCTTATTGTACAAGTTATTTTATTGCAGAAACTTTTGATGATGCTGTGGAGGAAAGAGTTATCAACGAAGAATACAAAATATGGAAAAAAAATACTCCTTTTTTGTATGATCTTGTGATGACACATGCTTTGGAATGGCCATCTTTAACTGCTCAGTGGCTACCAGATGTTACTAGACCAGAAGGAAAAGATTATTCTGTACACCGTCTTATTTTGGGTACTCACACTTCAGATGAACAAAATCATTTACTTATTGCTAGTGTTCAGTTGCCTAACGAAGATGCTCAGTTTGATGCCTCTCACTATGATAATGAGAAAGGAGAATTTGGAGGATTTGGTTCTGTTAGCGGAAAGATAGAAATTGAAATAAAAATAAATCACGAGGGGGAGGTGAACAGAGCACGATATATGCCACAAAATCCATGTGTAATTGCAACTAAAACACCGTCCAGCGATGTCTTAGTATTTGATTACACAAAGCATCCAAGTAAACCAGATCCTAATGGGGAATGTCAACCTGACCTAAGGTAATAATAGTTGTGTGTACTTATTAAAAAACAATAATAATGGTAATATAAAATTTTTGTATTCTTAACCAGATTAAGGGGACACCAAAAGGAAGGCTATGGCCTTTCATGGAATCCAAATTATAACGGATACTTGCTCAGTGCATCTGATGATCATACAATTTGCTTATGGGACATTAATGCACCGCCTAAAGAAAATCGCGTTATAGATGCGAAAACAATCTTCACTGGTCACACCGCTGTTGTCGAAGATGTAGCTTGGCACCTTTTGCATGAATCTTTATTCGGATCGGTCGCGGATGATCAGAAGTTGATGATTTGGGACACAAGGTAGTTACATATTTATAGTCACCGGTTATATAAACGAAAGTGAAATATTATTGAGAACAGGTTTAGATTTGACCGATCATCGAGAACAGTTCTTAACGAAAGCTCGTATTTTTGTCATTTTTAGGTGTAATAATACCAGCAAACCAAGTCATACTGTCGATGCTCACACTGCTGAGGTGAATTGTTTGAGTTTTAATCCGTATTCGGAATTTATTCTTGCAACTGGTAGCGCCGATAAAACGGTAGCACTTTGGGACTTGAGAAATCTTAAATTAAAATTACATTCTTTCGAGTCTCATAAAGATGAGATTTTCCAAGTTCAATGGTCACCGCATAACGAGACGATATTAGCTAGCAGTGGTACGGATAGGCGTCTACACGTATGGGATCTAAGTAAAATTGGCGAGGAACAATCTAGCGAAGATGCGGAAGATGGACCACCCGAGTTACTGGTGCGTATAATAATATATTCCTATATCAAATAACTAAGTACTATGTGTACTCAGTTGTTGGAATTCTTCCGAGAATATTTCATATACATTAATACTATTCATAGTTTATTCATGGTGGCCATACCGCAAAGATTAGTGATTTTTCGTGGAATCCGAATGAACCATGGGTGATATGTTCAGTGTCAGAAGACAATATAATGCAAGTATGGCAAATGGCAGAAAATATTTACAATGACGAAGAACCGGACACACCGGCGAGTGAACTAGAAGCTGGTGCGTCATAAAGTGTAAGGAAAGTAACCGATTAAATTATTTGATACTGAAATTTTCTAATGACACGTGCGCGCCCGCGTATATATGTACATATGCGTGTGGACGCGCGAAACCAATGATCCCAATTAGGATTAAGAAGAGAAGACGTTAAAGTGAATTTGTACGTTCGAACGAAAAAGATCATCGAGAAGCAATAATACCTATTTTTACTACCAATCTTAAGTCCGCTTATATACACATACATTTCCACAATTAATTAAACAAGCATCGTATATATACTTTCGATGTTTCTTAGAAATAATTGATGCTTGTATTTCATCGATCATATGTATTATGATACACGTTACGTATAAAATTATACAAAAATCAATTTTTCTCCACGGATTCTGTGATGCATTGCAATTTCTTACGTTTATACATAAAATTTATTTACTATCTATGGAGTAGAATGAGTGTAATATCATTTTCGATAAAGAAGACTAACCCATATTGAATTGAAATTGCGACGTGTTGTTAGTTTCGAGAGAGGAAAATCACACATTCTGTGTGTGATTGCTTGATGGTAAAAACACAGGTTTATGTTGTTTGAATCTAGTTATCTAGTTAGTTTTCTGGTGATCTACTACAATAAAATGTTATTTACTTGTTCCGGTTGGAAATTAAACGCGCAATGGTGAAATATTCTACTATATTCTGCATATGCGTACACATAATGAAACGAATGAGAAAAAGCATGCATGTTACAGTGATACCGCGACGATACATCCATGTAATTCCTTTTTATCTCGTTCTACTGAATAATCTCGTTATCTCGTCGAAATGTCGAAGTGTTGAAATGAAGTGAAAGTATTGTAGAAACGTGTAGGAAAAATTCGATAGAGGAGGATGAATTAGCAGTTCTTACGAAATGACGTTTTATCATTTCCCTATTTTTTCCACAAATGCAGGTGTCTTGGGTGTCTTTTGATATTTTAAGTAGTAATAAAATAAATTGCACTTGTATAATTTGTCTTTTTCTCTTTTCATTTCTTTTTTCATTTTTTTATTGCCCTCTCTTTCTTTTCTTCTTTTTCTTTTGTCTTTTCATTTATTAATATTATTATTATTATTATTATTATTGTTGTTATTGTTGTTGTTGTTGTTGTTGTTGTTACTATTATTATTAAATGTATTATAGTCGCATAACTATTAAGAATAGAGATTAAAATAATTTTTTGGCACTCGGTAGAGAAACGTACGAATATTCTAAAGATAAAATTGCGACCAAGTAGATTTTGTTCCCATAGTTATACAGCCGTGTTTGAAAGCTCGTTGTATATCTCGTCGAGTAAAGAATTCTTGCAAACGGTGTCCGGTCCGTGCAGAGATGTTGTATCAATATCAACAGTATCCAAGTGTGTGATTCTGCAAGGCGGAAAAGAGAAGTTTAGATTTTAGCGATAGACATTGTTCCAGATACACATCAATTAATTGGATCCTTCGTATCATTACCAAAATCTGCGTGTCAAATAGACATCGCTTATAGAGCACGACCTCTGCCTGTTTGTGCATGCAAAACGAATCTTTAGCAAAATATAAATAGAAAGAGAAACAAACAAGTTATTGAATTTTTCTACAACACGATTACATTACCTTTTGTTGGCGTTTTGTCGTTTAATGCCATCGAGTAGGTTCATTATGGGCGGCGTTAACATTGGACGAAATATCTACGAGGAAAAGCAGGAACGTAATGCGGTTCACGAAGATCAATATTTCTGAATAAATCATGAACGAGAAGCTCCTCAATAATTTTATGACGATTAGATGATTCGGTAAATATGAATTTTAGTAACTCAACGACCTATACAAGTTAACGGTTTGATTAGTTTCATCGAAGCGGAAAGCCCGTTTATTTTTATGGGTTCCCGCGAAAAGATCAAACAATAATTGGTTAAAGTGGTGTCGTCCTCAAAACTTATCGATCAAATGTTGTACTAATGCAGCTATATAAATATTATTGGTGGTCAAATGTTTGAGAAATTGAGAACCCATGAAAAATGAGATCGAGCAATGATCAATAGAGAGAGAGAGAGAGAGAGAGAGCGATTTGTACTTGTGGATACATTTCAAGATCCGACAGATGCACGGAATTTGGTTTAAACGATGGTAATTCGTAACCAGCGCACATTTCGAACAGCATATGACCTAAAAGGATAAATATTTGATATGATGTGAAAGATATTCATTCGGTGGTTAAAAAGGGTTGCGATTATGTTTATTTTGATGAGATAGAATGACTCGGAATTGATCTTACCGAAGCATATTATGTCGATCGAGATAGTTTGCGACGTTCGAGAAGCGATCAAAGGATGTATTCGGCTGGTGAAGCCGAGGAGTGTGTTTTCGAGGCCGGCGAGTCGTGCGACACCGTTTTGAACTAGCACATTTCCCGAATGTAAATGCGTCACGGTTGGAAATCCTCTTTCTTTCAAAAAAATCAACGCTTCGAGAACTTGACGTCCCATTTGTTGAACTTGGGGCAAGGGAAGTCCCTTACCGCGAGAAGCGTATTTTTGACTCCAATCTTCGTTCCAGCCTGTTCTTTCGATCTAGGAAAAATTGTAACCGTTGACTAACACGTTTAACAAGTGTATTTCAATTGAAACAATGACATCGGCGGATTGTGATTCTCCGGTATTCGGTATACTCACCCCGTAAATTAAATCTTTCAGACTGCCTTGACTGATCGGTTGGACCACAATCACGTACTGTTGATTCTCATATTCGAGAAAATCGATATCGAATATAGGACATACGTATGGATGTTGCAAGGCTAGGAACAAGTCGTTCAAGACGTTCTTCGTTAACGGAGAAACGCTTAACGAGCAGTTTCTATTCAACGGAGCTAAGGTGATCAGTCGATCGGTTTTCAAAGAAGTGTCCCTCACTGTGAACCAGTGTTTGTCCATTCTAGAGCCTATAATAGAACAAAAGAGCAGAGATTTTTTTTTCGTGGTTGTCAGCGCGATCAGAGTGTTGGTTTGAAAAGAGAGGATATTGATGATAAGAGAGAGGTGCGTTAAAGACACGGTAGCGCGTCAAGTTTACCGAGATTATTCAGCTGCTTGACGAGAGTGTAGCGCGGTGTTCTACGAATATAGACCTGACAGATAGATAAGGCACGATCCCTGGACCTTTTTTCCATTTCCATGCACTCGCCAACGTCCTCGCAAACGGATGCTCCGTGACCCAGTGCCGTGTAGTTGTTCCTTCCATTCCTATTTTTGGGCATACGGCAAATTACTCTTTCTCTTTCTCTTATTCTTAACTTGATATTACTTTTTTCTTAATTGTTCCTCGTGTCATTTTAACACGTGTATGTTCGTAGAAACGAAGGAAGCGAGAGCTAAACGAATTGAAAACAACAAAGGAAAACATAATCATTACCCATTAACCGAGGTATCGTCAATCGAGCTTTCTGGAAAAATATAATTGCGTTTACGAATTATATTCCGTTCTGACGAACGATTTCTCAAGCGATACCAATAACAGATGAAATTCACGCACCAACGACCGCAAACTGGATCAGTTGCGTTAGCATTAGTAGTCGCGAATGGCCGCCTCTCTCTACGAATACAAGGATTTCATCTAATAAGATGACTATTGTAACGTCGATATTTGCCGAGTAAACTTGTTTATTTCATTCTCTATATCACACTACTCTTCGTTGTCTCTTCTCGTGCTTCTCAATTGTTGCTTTCGTTTAATCCGTTTTATTATATATGTATTTCAAATACTCTGACATTGTCATAGAAGCTTGATAAAGTCGAGAGAGTTCGGAGAGTGAGTTGAAGAGAGAGGGGAGAGAAAGACCTTCGTTGTTGCGCGACTGGTATTCGTTTTCCTCGGGATCGTGTGTTTTGCAAGCAGTTCTGATGACGATCAACTGTATCGTCGTTGTTTATCTCCGTTTCCATCGTTGAACGAACAGCGTCCAAGAAAAATTTCGGTCGAACGAAAAACACTTTTAACTTAGCGGCTACTTCTTCAACTATGGCTACTGTTATGCATTGTGTTTGTACGCATCCGAGTACATTGCTCCGATCAATCGGTCGGTTTTCAATCGAATCGAATCGAATCGAATCGAATCGAATCGAATCGAATCGTATCGAATTGTGTACATTGTGTAAACTAATGGGGGAATTGTGATTTTATTTAAAAGTTTCAGCGGGTGAATATCGCGGTGCAATCAAGGGTCGAGAATACTCGAAAACGATCGATAGTCGACGACGGCTTGACAAACAAAATTTTCGAAGCATTAACGCTTCGCAAGGATAGGCTAATCGATTATATCGTGGAATTAACGTTGTTTGTTCGAATAATATCTACTAAATCGCGGAAAGAAAGTCGATCGTTTATTGGCTTGGCTTAATTGCGTTACTATAATATTTGTCGAGAATCGAACTAAAAACCGATGAACGTTCAAGTAGGAACGCACTGTATCTCACTGCGATTTGGTGTGATCGGAGTTACTCGGCGGGTAGTATCGATCGTAGGAAATGTTTTTTCCTGTAATCGTAGTACTATATAGGGTGACGTACATGTAAAGCTAACTTGGAAAAATGTAACGCGCGTCTGGAAGGAGATCTCGCACGAGAAGTAAAGAGAGAAGAGATGGGAGAGGGGAAAGATGCATACCTGACGTCTGATTCCTTGCAACCTCGTGCAGCGGACACGCGACTGAAAAGTATTTTGGCTAGATTGTCGATTTTATTGGTTAACTGGTAACTACTCTTCTCTTCGTCGCTGTCCTCATCTTCGATACTCGTGCTTCTTCCACGACGAAGAGTGCCCCGAGCGGAGACTATAGCCTCGGAATCGAGCTCGATGGCGCTTTGAGTCCTTCGATTGACGGCACGACGCTTCCGACGCGTCCTCGGTCGCTCCTGCCAGAACCTATCGTGCCCGGTCACATCCGGTTCTTTGTGATCCTCGTCTCTTTTGTTCAAATTCTGATACAAGTTGAACATTTTGTCCCCTTTCTTCTCCCTTTTATACGCGAGCAAACAAGTTTTTTTCTTTTTTTTTTATTTTCCCTCAAGCATTCCTCGTATACGCCGACTGGGGTTCATTCGTCTTTTGTTCACCGTGACCACGACGTCGAATCGATGCGATCTGCATTCACGATGAATCTCTATTTCGAAAATCCTCGACTATTTCGAACGCACAATACCTTTAGTTTACCTTAGGGTTATCGCGCGGGAAAATGTTACACAGCGTCATGACGAAAAGAAAGATCGATTTTGTACGATATCTCCTTGATGTCTCCGATGTGTGACTAGTGAACGGTCGTTTTCACCTTTTCTCCACATCTTATCGATTACTTACGCGAACGTTATTCCGGCAAACGATGTCGCGGCGCACAGTTACTTGGCGGCTTTACAAATTCCTTGATATTCTTTCAATTGTTGTATCGCGAGGGCTTCGTTGTTTTCGCTATAACGACTTTTCATCGTTGCTTCCGTTCGTTGAACTTTAGTTGCGTTAAAAAAAAAAAAGAAAATTTATTCGCGCACCAAATCGAACGTTGTGCGTACATATGTATATCTCGCGTGTGTGTCCTATTTCTCTAGGTCCCGTACACAATTTGGGAGGACATGAGCAACGAAAAAAGGTTAAGAAGATGGTGGGCTGTTCGTGGCGTAAAATGAAAATATTTTGTTAGATTAAGAATGTGGTAATGCGCCGCGCGGTACTGCGGCACTGCAAACCGCGCGCGCCGCTACTACCCAGCGAGGAGGATGGCCGAACACTGAGCCATTCGGTGAAGGCTCGCGCTATTTTACAGCCCCCAGTCTGACACAGATTCCCTGGCCCAGCTGACACTTTCCTCGACTACGGTAGATGCGTGTTCACGTTGGAAATGATACGTTTCCGAATGCATACCGCGTGCGCGCGCGCCCCCCGTCAACGATATCGTTCATCCTTTAACGTTTTCCCAATCTATTACGACCTCGCCAGTGTTCACTTATAAACCAGAAGTTGCGTAGACATTTAGGAGGTTTCGGTCGGATTCGATCGCGCGATACTAAAGGATTTAATGACAATTTAGCGACGCGTCGCTCGAAACGATCGTCGACTGTGTTTACCGCGGTAGTGATCGGATTTTCAATGTAGGCTGGGATTGGTAACGGATTAAGTCACGGCCATCCAAACGACGGAAGCCGCACGATTATTTCTTTACTTTCATCCTCCTTCGTAAAATGATAATGTTCGTGGACTTGAATTGTTTACAATGGTGAATTATATTATAAAAGGACGATGACGAAAATGAAACGACGCAAAGAATTAACGTCGTTTAGCTCTTACTTTTTTATTTCTCTATACTCTTTTCGCTCGGTGCTTGTCGAGTTGTGTAACGTAGTAACGTTAGAAGGAAATATTAATCCGATTAGGTTTAGTTAGAACTGGGGCAACGGAACGTTTTAGATTCTTTCTGACCCTTTAGCTGAACTCGAAGACCGCACACAGTCGCTATAATCTCGCGTCGCAGTTCTATGGCTGCTCTCAAGGACGTTTGAACAAATTTTTAACAATGATTATCCCTTCGGATATGGAATGGAAGATTGTGCTTGGTGTAATCGATAAGGATGAAATTCGCGTCGGTTTTTGCTAAAAGAAGATTTCGGTGTCAAGGCTATAGACGTATTATTGTTAAAAAAATAGTATCTATATTTGGGAAGAAGTAGTTGAACATTTATAAAACATTACTCATTAGGATTGTCGGTTGTCTGTTCTCGGGCCATTGCAGCTTTATATTGTAATGGCCAGCTGTTTATTGGACATCCGTTGTATACCTGTTACATAACCGATATACGTATTATCATTCGATAAGAGTATGTGTGGTTAGAAATAATTTGAAAGCACGTTATTACCTCAGATACGAATTCTAAAGCCGTACGTCGCGAAAACTCATGCTCGGCCCGTGGACCCCATTTGAACTCTGCCTTTGACAAATCCTCCTTTACCATGATCGTTTTGTCGAGATATTTTTGAGCGACGAAGATCTAAACGAACGATTCTCGATTTAGTGTTATTCTTATGCTGAGTTTTTCATCCGTTCTCCCGCTGTAGTTTGCTATCTTTTACCTCGGTTATCAAGTGTTTGACATTGCCAAAATAAACATTACACTGGTTGTCCATACAGGAAATACCCAAATTTGTAAGAAAGTTGAATAGCATTTCTGAAATAATTTATAACAGGATGTGAATAAAGTGTAGCAGTGTTCCTTAACGATACGTTAAATGACATACAAGGTTGCTACCTTCGCTACAAGATTCATCGTGCATAAAAATGTGAGTAAGTACTAGGAATAACAGTACTTGTCGACTAGCTTCCTTAGCAGCAGGATAAATATGCGGTAATTCGTTTTGAATTTCGTTTACCAGTATGTATTTGTTACCTTCAAGTTCCACCAGCCGATAGCCAAAAATCTATGGAGGTGTGTTGTATTTATGCAAGAAGAATTCAACTAAAATCCTTAGGAAGTTTTAGGAGTTTTGTTTGTACCTTTGATAAATGACCTTTCACTTTGTTCATTACTCCATGAAAATATTTCCGTTGGTTCCCAAAGATGCTCTTCATTATAGAAGTTTTGTTAATGGCCTGTTTTTCTCTATCTACCACAAGGAAATATCTTATCGCGCTATTAACGAGCTGACCTTCTTCTTCAGAAACCAGGCGATCAGAAGTGTTTTGAGATCTTCGAGAAAAATGTGATCCAGGTGCAGTCGCGCTTGTACTTGGGACAGGCTGAGAAAGGCTAGCTGAAAAGCCGTCATAATTCCGCGTGTGAACGCTCGACTGCGACAAATTCTTTCGAGACACCGTTGCCTTGGCGTGTTTTCGCGGCAAGCCTAGAAAGAGAGATTTATCGTTTTATACGTAAGTAGAAAGAACAAGGACAAATCGTATATATCGAAGATGCAATTATTCACCCATTTGACGAAGTAGAAGGTAAGATTGTTAGAACAGAGACTGTTGGTAAAAACAACAAAATCCACTGGACGAAACAGAAGCACGCGAAAGACGCTGCATAGTTGAGCATTTAAGAAAATAAGTGTACTGCAACGATCATCGGTAACAGCGACATCTGACGATCATTTGTAACGACACTAAGGGGAATAATGTTGCAGTTTTTTTTTGCACAAGTGGTAAAGAAGGCAGCATTTTCAATTGGTTATCGACGATAAATCAGTAGTCAGCAGTTTTCTCTGTTGACCGACAGGTATGGCAAGTTTGATGGAATTGAAAGGTGTACGTATCTCGTAAAATTTCTGCATTTTTTTGGGCGTTGGTTACTCGTGTACGTTAATTTTTGACCAATGACTAGAATTGAACGAAGTTTGAAAAATTGTTCGTTTCGCTAGGATTCGTTGAGAAAGAGCATGATTTAGTTTAGAACAGAGGTTAAAAATTGTTGGATAAGTTGGTTGCGAGGTGGAATTTGATGACGGCAATATGTATTGGTTCCATCGCGCAACGCTACATGACACATGCATACAGAAGTGTATACGTACGTTGTTTGGCAGAGCTTGCAAGCAAGCAAGCAAGCAAGCAAGACGATTGAACAAAGATGGGGGAGTCTGGTTGAACGATAACGATAACGATCTGAGCTCGTGTCTGAGCTGGCCTAGTACAGAAAGTGTGGAAGGATCGACGCGAAGGAGAGAAACGCATCGTGTATCACGTGGTTCGGAAGAAGCGTGTTCTGGTAGCTGTGCTCGTTTTTGCCGGAGACACGAAACGACTGGTTGGTTGACTAGCTGGCTGGCTGGTCGGTTGGTCGCTTACTTAAACACCCTGTACATACAGTGTACACACAGTTGCATCGTCTGTGGACACCGCACCGGAGCGAAAGAGCAGAGGAAACTGGCTTGTATGCGAGAGCTTGGCGCCGCACTGTCGCATCCTATATACAAAATCACTCTCGTCGTACCGACTATACGAGGAGCACATGCTTGGACATAACACGTACACGCACCGTTCACACTCGAGGCCAATAGAGAGAAAGAGAGAAGAAAGGATAGCGTGGAAGTTGGAATCGATTTTACTTTAAGAACGGTACATGTATTATTTTCTTAACTTGTTCTTACTTTTCGATTAAGCTTGGACCTTTTGCTCACTTGGTTATTTTCTCCGTTTGTCATCGGAGAAAAGGGTAGGGGAAAGGAGATTGACCAATCGATAGTTGTAGAAGAGCGGAAGGAGGACGAAGGAGGACGAAGGAGGACGAAGAAGAAGCGGAGATCCGAATTGCTCGAGATCGCTATAAATGTCCGATCCGTGCGGTGTGGCATCCGTTTCAGCGTTCTCGTGGTTTCTGGTGGTCGCCGCGCCGGTGCAGCTGATGCTGCGTTAATTAAACGCAGCGGATATCGATACCCTGTCACACGCCATTTGTGTGTCGTGTTCTCGTCCGTATTGAACGCGCGTGCACGCGTACATATGTAAATATATGTGGACAGATAAAGGGAGGTAGGTGGATTCGCATAGAGTAGACCGAGAGGGAAATCGGTCGATTGGATCATGTGATTTCCGTGAATGTTGTTCGCACGACGCGTCGATCGGTCTGATCCCGTAGTTGCGTTGCAAAACTGGTTACGTACTGGTTGAGGCAGGTGTTTCGGATGATACTCTTTTTGATAGGAACTGTGCGAATTCTTTTGTCGATAATGGTTTCAACGGAAATAGAACTGGCTCTCTCCTCGAGCCATTTTGCTTCCATTTTGTCTTATTCTTCGGCTCGTTCGAGATGCATAATAGTTGATGTATTTGTAGCAGGCAACGAGCCAGCGAAACTTGGAATCGGTCAGTTGGTAAATCTAGCTGGTCGAATAAACGGAAGATTCAAGGAGAATCCACTAGGAAAAGTAGGGGGGTAAGGAAGAAAGGAAGGAAGGAAGGAAGGAAGGAAGGAAGGAAGGAGGAGAAGAGGAGAAGAGGAGAAGAGGAGAAGAGGAGAAGAGGAGAAGAGGAGAAGAGGAGAAGAGGAGAAGAGGAGAAGAGGAGAAGAGGAGAAGAGGAGAAGAGGAGAAGAGGAGAAGAGGAGAAGAGGAGAAGAGGATGGCCAAGGGTGGCCGTAATCTTGGAAGAGGTTGTTTTGGCCTTTGGGATGCGGGACAGTGGTCCGTGGCGTGTACACATTCGCGTAGGTCGTTTGACGCGATGGCGGTCAGCTGGCGCCAACGCTCTGGCAACCTCCCACCGAACAGTATTTCGCCTCGTTAATCTTACTTGATGCTCCCTTCTTCTCCCCGACCCCTGCCGCACAGCACGCACGTTACACAGAAATTTCACGGCACTTTTCGTCCTCGCGACTCGCGCGATTCATGACTCGATGCGTCGGAGAGCGGCGGTGGATTATTATTCGTCTCGTGTAACCGCCAAAAATGAAGAGATGCTGATGAAAGCAACAAAATGCAGCACCTGCTTATCAGCAGGTGCGCACGTGCGCACTTGCGCACGTGCGATTTCTCCCCGTGTCGGAAGCGCGTACATCGTGCTCCGTTTTATTCGGCCTTGCGCACTCGGTTCATCGAAAAAAATATACTACATATAGGTATGGTATGAGAAAGGCAGCAAGGTTGAATTGAATTCTCTCGTTACGTTTGACCTAGGTACCTCCTACGATACGCACACTTGCATCGATGCGCGGTGATTCGTTTCTACCAGTTAGTCTGATAACGCGAACACAATTTCTTCCAGATAATGTATTAGCCGGAAGGACCGGTCGAGGTGTCGAACCAGCTTCCTCGCATTCGTGTCACGCGTTTACGCGGAAGAACACGCGTCGGGGCGTTGTACGTGTAGCAGCTTGGTCGAACAAACAACGAGAAGACCGATATCGTTGCTTTTGTCCGAATCGAATTGCGAACGGGAACGTGGTGGAAGAGAAGTGGTGGTATGTTGTGTGTAACGTCGTTATCGATAAAACGTCGAAAACTTGTTTGCATTCGTATCTCGTTTTATTTATTCGATTCTTGACAGAATTAGGCACGAGCGTGCACGCGGAGCTCGAGGTAGTCTTAAAACGTAGAAGAGTACAATTAGATCCGATCGATCGTGATTCTTTTTATTGTATATGGTATCCTTTTTATATGCAATCGCGTTTCGTTGTTGCAGCACGTGCCGCATCGTTAATTCACACTATTTTCGACAGGTTCAGACAAGCGTACCTACATACACACGCACAGCGCGCACACACACGATAGATGTGAGATATTTCATATTGATCGTGGAAATTGGTGGAAAGGGAAACGCATTTTTACTCGGACTATCTATTATACTTGCGAAGATTCGCAATGATCGGTGGGTTAGACGGTAGTGCATTACGACACGTCCTATTCAGTCTTCTTTTCTCTTCCTAAGTTTACCCTCCGTTTGAATGGTCCTAGATACGAGGTCTACGCAGGCTCCTAACGACGCACCGTTTGTTGCTTCGTCTTCGGGAGTATCGACGATTTTACCGAGGGTCATGATGTAACTGCACGCGATCCTTAACACGGACAGCTTGGATAATTTTTGATTGTGCGAGTATGCGGGAATGGCACGTCTCAGTGTATCGAACGCGGCACTTATCGTGTGTACCCTGGTTCGTTCTCTGGCATTAGCTTCTATTCTCCTCTCACGCGTCATGTTTTTGTAGTTTCTTTGCTGGCCCGGCGTTGGATGTTGTCTCGTGTGACCTGTCTGGACGTTCGTCACCGTGGTCGTCGGTGTCGTCGTAGTCATCGTGGTCGTTGTTCTTGTCGTAGAACATGAATTATCGCCGCTCGAACATGATCGATGGTTTTGTTGACAATGGGATAACGGTAACGATAACGACACCGACGACGAGGACGAGGACGAGGACGAGCATGACGATGACGACGACGACGAGGACGAGGAGGAGGACGATGACGAAGAAGAGGACGATGACGAAGAAGAGGATGAGAAGGACGAAGCTGACGAGACTTTTACGCGTTCTGCAACGGAGTAACTACCGTTTACAGCTGGATGAGAAGGTACCCTAGCGGCCACGTCGCCTCTTAAAACGAGCGAGAGAGGTTCTTCCTGAAGTCTCGGTTGTGTGATCGGAGGTAGTGACACAGTGGACGTCGACAATGTCGTTGTTTCCGAGATAATCATGGTTGAGGTTGATCTGAAAATTGTCGCGGTGTCCAATTTTTGACGAGAGAATTCTCGCTTCTCAGCCCGAATAGAACGCGTTTCAGTTGATTGCCGCACTCGAGTAGCTAAACTCTCTCGACTCTGTGACTCTAGCTGTTGTTTCTCAAGGGAATCTCCACCTTCTGTGCTTTCGTAGACGTTTGGATTATTTTTGGAATCGTGGCTGTAAATGTGATTGACTTGATCAACTCGTTGAACGTTGTTGTTGTCGTCATTCCTCTCGCTTTTGTCTTTGTCGTCATTCCTCTCGTTTTTGTCTTCGTCGTCGTCGTCGTCGTCGTCGTCGTCGTCGTCGTCGTCGTCGTCGTCGTCCACGTCGTCCACGTCGTCGTCGTCGTCGTCGTGGTCGTTTCGATGGTGACGATGCAGGTGACGATGATTAATTCTATTCGGAGAGACAGGAGGCATCGTGGACAATGGTGCACGGTTCGATAGCAAAGAGAAGACACACGGTGGTTGGTCGTTGGTATTAATTCTTTCGATTGGCATCGATAACGAGATTTTCGGATCGACGTTTTTGTTGGTGCAACTCCATGGTCTGAACGGGCTGGGTGATCGTAGCGTTCTGGATGATTTCCCGTGAGATACCGTCTCCTCCTTGATTCGTCCAAATCGTCGCTTTTTTAACGGAGCCGAGTTTGGTTCTTGAATCTTCCGCGGTTCGGCCAGTTTCCTTTTGTTTTTCAACGATATCGGTGTTATTTGCACCTCTAGGCTGTCTTCAGAGGCGCTGGGTGAGTGTAGGTCAGCAGACATGTCGTCCTCGTCGCCACCGCTACAGAAACCGGCATCCCTTTCGGAACCAGCCATCGCACCACCGGCTGAAACGAAAAACAAATGCGAACCTTCTTTTGACAATTGCACTTGTGTTTTGCAATTAAGAAATTTTCAACGGACTAGAGAATTTCCATTTGAACAACTACGCACGCACACAATATATGTATGTATATAGTAAATTATCGAAGGAAGTTTATCAGAGAAAAGTAAGCGATACGCAGGCGGTTCGATGGAGAATATAAAAAAGAAAATACCGGCCGGCTGGAAAGACGAATTGTCGAATACCATCTACGATAGGATTTTGCGGACGAGGCGATTTCGTTCCGCGGTCCGATTTCGTTTCGCGTTGACTTTGGTCGTTGCCTGGTGTTTCTCGTTCTTGAAACGAGAAGAAGGCGGGATGTTTTCAGGTTTGGTACACATCATCCAACTGGTATATACCATCTGGCGTACAGGACTGGTGGAAGATTACAATACGCGTAACCCCTCTTTTCCCTTCTCTCCTCTTCCTTTCTCACTGTTTTTTTTTCCCCTCTTCTGTTCGTCTCTTTCCGTTAGCGTCTTTCTCTTCCTTTTTGGTTCGTTTCGTTTCGTTTCGATATCTGTCGATCGAGTCGCCCGTATTTGTACACGGCTCCTCCTCGTCTGACGCATCTCATCTTCGATTCGCGTAGAAGAGCAAACGGACAATCCGTTGACCTAATAGTCTATTGCCGCGCGTATTCTTTTTCGAAGAAGAAGTAATTACCTCTACTAGCCTATACGAGTACATCTCGATTCGTTCCCGTTCATTGAAGCGATCGGATCGGACAGAGAGGGGCAAAAGGCGGTACGATGCTGGCGCCGTCCGCCGCGGTCGGTCTCGTTTTTTTTGCCTTTTGCGTGAATAAGTCGTGACGCGTCGTGACGCGTCGTTATTCCTTTAGAGTACATTAGAGTACCTTACGTACTACCTACCGATCGCGTACGTAAGCCTCGAAACGTAGCGTGTAGAATCGCGGGCGAAATCGATTTCTTTCGAAATCCGAGATATCGAGGCTAACGCGTCCAATGATAACGAGCGTTGCGCACCTGGTGACAGCGTGGCTCGCGATAACGCTACACCTCTCTCTGCTTTCGGTATCGAGCACATCTGCTTTCTCGCCGATGCCATCAGGGCCTATACGTACTCGTTGCTATGCGACATACAGAGAGTATTTAAATGAAACGTATGCTATTACGTATTTCGCATAGATATCGAGCAGAAATTTTTTTCAATTCCGACGGACGTGTAGCATAGCAACGAAGGAGGAGAATGAACGTTCGTTGGAAAGTATCGTACAGATGCCAAACCGAGAATTTCTACGACAAACACGTGAATTTGAATTATGCTCGCGAATATCTTGCTCTA